CACCCATGCTTATCCTGTACGAATTGGTCTTCAGTAGCCCATTCAATTCGTAAGAGGTAACAAATGGGATCTGGTTAACAGGTTTGGTGACTTGGTTGATCCCAATTGGGTAGATCGAGAGCAGAATATTAATCTGTCCATGGACTATCAGTTCCAGTTCGGATCTTCATTGGTCACGTATTTTAAAAGCGCCGGACAATGAAAACTTTAGACGCGTACGTAAAAAGTAAGTACAGTCACAAGGGAGATAATTCGAGATTATGAAGCCTGTAAAATAGTGTAGTTACATAGTGGGGGTTCTTGACCACTTCCTCTTATAGGCTTATTTCTACATAATTCCGCTCCAAGCGCCTAGTATAAAATAGTGATTTTCGAGCAGAGACATCATTCGATGTACAGCCGAGCCTAGACCCGTTAAACCCGGAAAGTGTCAATGATAAGATTGGTTTCGCTAGGGCAACCCATTTTCAGCAACTACTGACTAGACCTTGACATGCCGAGTGGAGTTTCCTTAATAGGGGGTCTTAGAAACTCCCAACGCATCGTGGTCCAATCAGTGGTTTATGCACGTCTGTCTGTATGCGTAAGTCATGACGCCGTCGATGGCGATCCACCGTTAGGTAACCATGGGCGACAAGGAGGTCTTGTTGAGAGTGATGCCATAGATGTTGTGTTTGTCGCTTCTCAAAGCATTCATTTGGTGTTTGAACGTTTTATTCTTGAACAGAGCTTGTTTGAAGAGGGCGTGTTTGATGTGTTGTTTCACCACCTATTTCTTGATCCCTTTCGGCTTTCGGATCTCACTGTTGTCGGCTTTCAGGATGGAATACATCTTGGGTCTCAATCCGACGTATTCCGCGATTTTAGTTTAACGCACTTTTAACAATATTCCAGCAATATCACGGCGGGGGACTCCATAAATAGGCTTCACACTTTGTGCCCATGTGGGGAATCGATCCCGGGTCTTCGCGATGTTAAAAATGCTTATTCTTCAACACATAGACATTAATAAGCAAATTTAGTGCATTCAATGTATTTACACCATCAAAGTTTATCAGTGTTCTAAATGATTTTGATTGTATACACGTGGAAGACTGCTAATTCAAGGGAAATAATTGCCAAGCGATGTTACCTGCCGCCATGTTGGGATGCTGGTAACGCACATTAGCAGCATCGCCTTAGATACAGTGATAGTACAGATCATTTTCTGCGGTTTGTCCATTTTGTAGATAAGCAGTTCATTATACACGTTATATTTAAAGCATGAAATGGTTTTAACTTTCAGTTAATATCTATACCATGAGACTAGCGGGGAAACAATCGCTGTCCATAAGGTACACTTACGTGTTGGAAAATGCAATGACAATTTACTACATACATATTTGGCAAGTAAGGATGATTACAGTGCCATTTGTTGTGTTGCATTCTTCCTTAACTTTAGAATACAATTGTTAAGTATATAACATTTCTTCGTTGATTGTTGGTTTCACTACTGTTGATCTACTGACAAATTCCCGGGAAACCGTTGTTTCCTCTTAGGAATTAACACGTTACACTCCTCAAATTGATTTGGATAAATAGATGAAAACATGTTAAAATGACACATAAAGTTGGTAGGTTCGAATATGAGAAAGTCCTTGAGGAAGGATCGCCTCTTTTGAGTAACAGACTGCTTTAGTTTTAAAATATCAGGATTTTTAACTCCATTGTTTGACTTCACTTCTGCGTACATCCCTGCTCATATGTTTACTCGCCGTGACTGCCTCCGTGATGTAGTGGTTAGAGTGTCCGCCCGGAGAGCGGAAGGTCGCGGGTTCCATCACCGACCGCGTCACACCAAAAGACGTTAAACTATGGCACTTGTTGGTCCCTGCCTGGCGCTCGGCATTAATGGGTACAACAAGGACTGGTCGGCTCGGAGTCAGTATTATGTGTCTGAGTTGGGTATTCATGCTTCAGTGCGGCATGGTATCTCAGTGGACTAGCACTATAAAACCAGCTTAAGTCTGGGCTAGATCAAGCAGCCGCACATACACACGCATGTACGTCGTCATGTGAGCGAAATATTCTCAAGCACAACGTTAAACCCAATTTCACCTCACCTAACCTTTACTCGCCGTGTCTCAAATACCACTCAGGCAGGATCACAACTACATATGCCCTTGCTCGTATTCTTAATGGTTGCCTGGTGGACTATTTAAATACTGGCATGATGTAGCTGGAATATTGCTATCTCAGGCGTGAACAATCACGCCAAAGTATTAAACAGCTTACTCACCAGAAACGTATCGTTACTTCCTAGTTCCATGTCGTCCCCTGGGTTTTCCAAATACATTTTATTTTCGCCCTTGTCGCCACGAACAACTAGCATAACATCACTGTCAGTGTCACTTCCTGGTTTTGTGCCCGTCTGGGTAACAACTCGGTACTGGGTCTGGACAAACTCATCATCTGAAAGAATGAGAAGAGGAGAAACATCAGCTGGAAGAATGAGAAGATGAGAAACACCAGCTGGAAGAGTGTTCGCATGGCAACCAAAACACAGAAGCAAGCAGATCAGCATTCTTCCATGACTGCATCTAAACTGTACCTGTAACTACACCTCTTGTTGCATACCATCACTTTCTTTGTGAGGAAACGTTTGTCCAATATTTCCAAACTATTTAGAAACTGTAAATAGGTATGTGTATAAGAAATTGCTCGTATATAAACTTTGGCTTATAGCATGTACTGTAATGTGTATAAGCAATTGCTCAAATATAAACTTTGGCTTAAAGCATGTACTGTAATGTCCCAAACTTCTCACATCCTAAAAACATGGAGCACAGGACACGCAGGGAGAATCATCCTCTATGTAATACACATCCCTACATTTAGACTTCAAACAAACACTGTACGTGTTTTAGCAGACCCTGTGGTAAAGCTGGCACATGCCAGTTACTAAGGCAGTAGAAGTGTTGCTAATTGTAACCCATACGGTAGAATCTTGGCAGTTTTACCTGTATACGTCTTGGCGGTAGGCACCAATGGGGCCGAATCCTTGGTTGACGTCACTGATGAAGCCAAATCCTTGACAGTTGTAGCAGATGCGTTAGAATCCTTGACAGATGAAACGGATGCGTTAGAATCCTTGACAGATGAAACGGATGCGTTAGAATCCTTGACAGATGAAACGGATGCAGTAGAATCCTTGACAGATGAAACGGATGCAGTAGAATCCTTGACGGTTGTAAGTGTGTTTCCGACTTGTACCGACAGAAGAGTTGTCTGTTCCTCCTCTGTAGGTGCATGCATGGCAGTTTCTGTGGCGTCACTTTCTTTATATATGTCTATACGTGTGTTGTCATTCCCATTCATTTGTGGTCTTTTGACTGGTACCTCCTGGTTAACATGTCCTGTAATTTGCAAAACAAAACATTATAACTGATAGCAATGCCCGAAAAATATACATCTGTGTATTGAAACACGCACGCAGGTACACGGACACGCTTATATCCAATACATGAATACATCTGTTAATAATCTAGCTAGACCAGACAATCCAGTGATTCACATTATGCGCATCGACCTACACAGTTAGAACACTATGCGACGTGTCAAGGAGTCAGCGGGCCTGATATCCCGATCCCATTTCGTGCCTCTGATAACACGATGGGTTGGTGAAGACCTAAATAATTGATCCTGTACAAAACATTCCATATAGCCATATACTGCTGAATACAACCATCAAACAAAATCACATTGAGGGTACTGTCCGAAAAACTCCCCATACCTGTAAATAATGACACAGAGGTCGCGCAGTGTACAATTGTCCTCTACGTAAAATCCCTGCATGTAAACTTCTGACAACATTCTCTTGTGGAAATTTCAGTGTTAGAACGGTAAAAGATCTTTTAAACTAAGTTAATTATCATTTAATTATTGACTTTGTAAACGAAATTGAACTGATGGACAAATTTTGATTGATATCATTTGTAGATAGATAGTTTTAATGATTGGAAGTTTAACTTAGTAACTTAGATTGTTAATGGCTGTACCCTAAAGGGGGATTAAAGTATTGTAACTCCTGAGAAGGTACGTGAGTCCCGAAACTTTCAAAGTAAATTTAAAACTTACCAGGATTTTAAGCATAGATCTTTGTGATGTTTAATTATGGCTAAATTTGGTTACAATCGCCAGCGGCTGAAGGGATGATGTACATCCAGCTAGGGTCCATATAGGTAGCAAAGTCCCCATGGTCCCTAGTATGGTGATCAACCTTCAGTTGTTGGTGATCTATAGCCCGTCTTTTATATTGTACTGTTGTCTCTAGTGATTTACAAAATGTATTTTTTAAGATAGCGTACTAGTTTTAAATGAAGAGCTGTGGTAGTCTAGGATTTTACTGTCCTTCGATGACAGGTTTTTACTTTCAAGATTTATTGATTTTAACATTGATATAAATTAAATTGTTCCCGTTACGATATGGCTGCAATAATGCCGATGTGACGCTAAATATTACCGCACTGACTCTTGTGTACAATATTAAGAAATTACACCAACTTGTTTTGCATAATGTGCGTGTCAGTAAATACAGCAATATTGTTTCATAATGCCATTCTAAACGAATTGCCTTTGGGTATATTAATGCTATATTGTTACATAATGCCATTGTAAACGAATTACCTTTGGGTATAATAATGCTATATTGTTACATAATGCCATTGTAAACGAATTGCCTTTTGGTATAATAATGCAATATTGTTACATAATGTCATTGTAAACGAATTGCCTTTTGGTATAATAATGCTATATTGTTACATAATGCCATTCTAAACGAATTGCCTTGGGTATAATAATGCTATATTGTGTAATAATGCCATTGTAAACGAATTGCCTTTGGGTATAATAATGCTATATTGTTTAAATAATGCCATTGTAAACGAATTGCCTTTGGGTATAATAATGCTATATTGTTTAATAATGTCATTGTAAACGAATTGCCTTTGGGTGTAATAATGCTATATTGTTACATAATGCCATTCTAAACGAATTGCCTTGGGTATAATAATGCTATATTTTGTAATAATGCCATTGTAAACGAATTGCCTTTGGGTATAATAATGCTATATTGTTTAAATAATGCCATTGTAAACGAATTGCCTTTGGGTATAATAATGCTATATTGTTTAATAATGTCATTGTAAACGAATTGCCTTTGGGTGTAATAATGCTATATTGTTACATAATGCCATTGTAAACGAATTGCCTTTGGGTATATTAATGCTATATTGTTACATAATGCCATTGTAAACGAATTACCTTTGGGTATAATAATGCTATATACTTACATAATGCCATTGTAAACGAATTGCCTTTGGGTATAATAATGCAATATTGTTACATAATGTCATTGTAAACGAATTGCCTTTTGGTATAATAATGCTATATTGTTACATAATGCCATTCTAAACGAATTGCCTTGGGTATAATAATGCTATATTTTGTAATAATGCCATTGTAAACGAATTGCCTTTGGGTATAATAATGCTATATTGTTTAAATAATGCCATTGTAAACGAATTGCCTTTGGGTATAATAATGCTATATTGTTTAATAATGTCATTGTAAACGAATTGCCTTTGGGTGTAATAATGCTATATTGTTACATAATGCCATTGTAAACGAATTGCCTTTGGGTATAATAATGCAATATTGTTACATAATGTCATTGTAAACGAATTTCCTTGGGTATAATAATGCTATATTGTTACATAATGCCATTCTAAACGAATTGCCTTTTGGTATAATAATGCTATATTGTGTAATAATGCCATTGTAAACGAATTGCCTTTGGGTATAATAATGCTATATTGTTTAAATAATGCCATTGTAAACGAATTGCCTTTGGGTATAATAATGCTTTATTGTTTAATAATGTCATTGTAAACGAATTGCCTTTGGGTGTAATAATGCTATATTGTTACATAATGCCATTCTAAACGAATTGCCTTGGGTATAATAATGCTATATTTTGTAATAATGCCATTGTAAACGAATTGCCTTTGGGTATAATAATGCTATATTGTTTAAATAATGCCATTGTAAACGAATTGCCTTTGGGTATAATAATGCTATATTGTTTAATAATGTCATTGTAAACGAATTGCCTTTGGGTGTAATAATGCTATATTGTTACATAATGCCATTGTAAACGAATTGCCTTTGGGTATATTAATGCTATATTGTTACATAATGCCATTGTAAACGAATTACCTTTGGGTATAATAATGCTATATACTTACATAATGCCATTGTAAACGAATTGCCTTTGGGTATAATAATGCAATATTGTTACATAATGTCATTTTAAACGAATTGCCTTTTGGTATAATAATGCTATATTGTTACATAATGCCATTCTAAACGAATTGCCTTGGGTATAATAATGCTATATTTTGTAATAATGCCATTGTAAACGAATGGCCTTTGGGTATAATAATGCTATATTGTTTAAATAATGCCATTGTAAACGAATTGCCTTTGGGTATAATAATGCTATATTGTTTAATAATGTCATTGTAAACGAATTGCCTTTGGGTGTAATAATGCTATATTGTTACATAATGCCATTGTAAACGAATTGCCTTTGGGTATAATAATGCAATATTGTTACATAATGTCATTGTAAACGAATTGCCTTGGGTATAATAATGCTATATTGTTACATAATGCCATTCTAAACGAATTGCCTTTTGGTATAATAATGCTATATTTTGTAATAATGCCATTGTAAACGAATTGCCTTTGGGTATAATAATGCTATATTGTTACATAATGCCATTGTAAACGAATTGCCTTTGGGTATAATAATGCTATGTTGTTTAATAATGTCATTGTAAACGAATTGCCTTTGGGTATAATAATGCTATATTGTTTCATAATGTCAAAGTAAACGAATTGCCTTTGGGTATAATAATGCTATATTGTTTCATAATGTCATTGTAACTGTACTGTCACTGAATGTTGAACTTCTACTCCATTGTTCATCAATGCTGTGCAGCAAAGTGTGTTCATAATGAGTTCATTCTATAATACATGTGTTAATTGTACAACAAATACTTTGTGTTATTTATTATAATTTCACATTGAATATATTTGCATTCACATTTTTGGGTTTACATTGTACGAAACTGAAAATCTATATTCATTACCTGACAAAGTAAAATCAAAAGTTTAACAAACCTGTATTACGTTGATGATGTTCTCTTCCATCCATTGGGTAGTTGCGTTCAATGTGAGTGTCTCCGTCTACGGTGGTGGTGGTGGTTGCTGAGTCCCTTACATATGACATCCAGCAGTTCGTTGGAGATCTCTTGACAAACATATATCGCAAAGTACTGACGCACGGGACAAAACAATGTATTTTGGAGATCCGGTTTACTTCATCCCAGGTGCGAGTTGAAAGTAACTCACTGAATTTTAACTTACAATTAACTACATCGTCCACACATGAACAGATGCCAAATGAAAGTGTCATCAGAATGCAGACCAGCAAATCCATGGCGACGTACGTCTTGTCGTTGTGTAAACTCAAGTGTGCTATTTGTTCCTGCAAACCTTTAACAGAAAGTTAGAAATGTATTTACATCTTTTCAATTTTAATAGTCAGCTATCGCGAATAATGCATAATGTATATCTCGTTAACACCAGACATCTGGGTTTGTTTGCAGATAATCGTGTGATAAGACTTTAAAGTTATCACATAAAATGCTCGTTGAAACACTTGTAGAGACATGCCTTGTACACAATAGTTTAATCTATATACCTTTATTGCTGCAGAAGGTACTATCAGACTGAAAGGAATTCTAATTAAAGTGAAGTTTTAAGTTTTCTCTCATTACCAATCAACTTTGTAAAGCTGGGCCTAGATTTTCGAAGATAAGATAGTCGTATGTGCCAAACATTAACATTAATTTACGACTATCTTAGCACTAAGAGAGCTTCGAAAATCTAGGCCCAGAGCTTTTCAGTTCTTAGTGAACAATTCTCATGTTGCACTTAAATGTGAATTGATAATAATGTCATGCCAACATATGCATACTTGGAAACAGTATACAGATATACGAAAATTAATCATATATTAATAAGGTGTAATGTTTTCAACAAACAGGTCTTGCAGTAACCCTATATCCCATGTAAATGACTACACACAACTGTGTCCCCAGATTGGGTATATGCTGTCCCAGTTAAGTGCTGGTGCACGTGTCCTTAACCGGCACCACAGTGCATAGGTTATTCTGTTTAGTATCGACTAAAGCCTTGAAACAATATGTTGACATAGAAATCTGAATTAGTTGTAGGCTGCGTTTAATGCAGCTTTTACAAGTATTCAAGAAATACCGGGTCGGTTCCAAAAATGGTATTCACGCATTGTACCGAATCACACCCGGGTCTTTCTTGCCTTCAGACCATTAAAACATGTCAAATACACATCCACTTTTAATTGAAGTTCTTGAATTGCATAATGATCTGGCTACAGGCCAATGCTACATCATCACGTTGGAGGCAGCACTCAACAAATCTGTGACACCGCTTCTTATCCCATATTCCGATTACAAAAGCGTGATTAGATCTTACATCCGTATCTAATGCAGAAGATGTGGGACACCTAAGTAGGTATCAATAAATTACATGCAATTAAACCAACTGTTGGTTACACCTACTTGGGTGTTCAGACAGACAGACAGACAGACAGACAGACAGGTTTTATTCAGTAATGTAGGCACAGTGGCCCATAGTACAGTTGAATTTTCATTTTAACAAATATTGGTCACGTGACACGAAATTATGGTTTTACATGTGATTTAAGGATGGACATCAAATGTTTTATGAAAATGGCAGCTGATTTAATAGTGTCATCGTTATTAGAATTAAGTATTTTATATATCGTTTGTGGGGCATCATTAAAGCATTTTAGATACTTCTTTCGGCCAGCAGAGAATGCCTCACAGTCTAATAATAAGTGACGTTCGTCTTCAGTTTTACCAGAAGAACAATGAGAACATGATAAATCTTCCAATGTATTTTTATCTTTTCTATAACGGTGTATTTTTAAGGCATGTAAAGAGATTCTAAATTTACAAAAAATTTCTTAAAAGGGACTTATCATTAAGGACCCTAATATATTTTTCAGGTCCGAACATCGATTTACATTGTGAATAATGACTTAGAAAACTCGATGAATTTACTGATGCGTGCCAATTCTGAATATATATATCTTTTATTCGTTGCTTAAAAGTTAACAAAAACATTTTTATATCACCAACATCTTGCTTAAACCAAACATAAGAAAACCCGCTTGAAAATAACACATTTCGGACACCAGAAGCCCAAGAATACTTTCCACGTTTGTCTAGGGATAATAATAATTGATAGCTTTGATAGGGGTAGCGATAATCAGGCATTCTTATAAGTTTAATCCAGTATCTGATAGCTCTCATTTGACTCTCAATATGCATGCTATAGCGGCCTGTATCGCCAAGTACGGCTTTGTTGGAAGCAAATTTACCTACAGTAAGAAATCTTTTAAAATATGATGCATGCACATTTTCTATAGCTTCGAAATAGTTTACTCCCCAAATTTCAGATCCATATAACAATATTGGTGCTATTTTAGTGTCAAAAAGTAAGCAAGCTGAGTCAAATGAAATAAACTTATTAGCCTTAAACAGTTTAAAAATAGGAAATAATGCCTTCTTAGCTTGTGCTGCAAGGGTTTTAGATGCCATGGACCAATTTAATCGGCTGGAAAATAGAAGACCCAAATATTTATAATATGAAACAACATTAATACTTTTGCCACGGAATAACCATTTTTCAGAATGTGCCACTATACCCCATTTCTAAAGACAACTATGTTAGATTTTTCCATATTCAACTCTAGTCCCCATGTGTCACAAAATGTTTGAAGAATATTTATCTGTCTCTGCAGTCCGTTTACCATGAATGAAAACGTAACAATATCATCTGCAAAGAGAAGCAAAAGTAAATCTTTGATTTGGGGAGTAACAAATATTCCATTATTACACGATTTATACATATCATCTACAAGTTCATTAATAAAGAAGATGAAGAGTACGGGGCTTATTACACAACCTTGTCGCACACCAACGGAAGTGTTAAACGATTCAGTGTTGCCAGAATTAGTTCTAACACAGGCTGCAACAGAGTCATACATGCTTCTTAAAATATTATACATTTTGCCATGGCATCCTTTGGTATGTAACATAAATAGCAATTTCTTACGGTCAACAAAATCAAAGGCTTTCTTAAAGTCGATGAAAGCGCAATAGAATCTCCCTTTTGGTCTGCAGAGGTACTTTGTACATAATGACTGTAATATAAATAAATTATCAGTTGTACTATAATCGGATCTAAAACCAGCTTGAGCCTCGTCAAGTAGCTCGTTTAGATCAACCCAGGCGCGCGTAAACACTTTTCTAATATATTAGCAAATAATTTTCCAGAAATGTTTAGAAGAGATATTCCACGATAGTTGCATGGTTCTGATACACTCCCAGACTTGAATAAGACTTGAATAAAGGGACAATCATACCAGTGTTCAGTCCAGATTTGAAGACTTTGACGTTCTCGCATTGGCCATACAAGATACCCTCATGAATATTGTAGCTGCAATGTTGCTAATGCGATTAACTCACTCACTCACCCACTCGTGAATGAAGATCTCCGTTTTGCATCCCCTGTGATGAAGGAATCACGGTCAAGTATGTCCTTCGTGACTGTATTGATTTTTCCATCACATGGGATAAATATTTCAATGTCAAAACAATTAAGCATCTTTTATACTGTAAATTATCATTTGATAATTGGGATTTTTAACGTGAGTGAGTGAGTTAATATTTAGCGTCACATCGACAATATTGCAGCCATATCGTGACGAGAACAATATAATTTATATTAATATTAAAATAAATAAATTTATAACGTAAAGACCGGTCATCGAAGAACAGTAAAAATAATAGATTATCACAGCTCTTAATTTAAAAATTAATCACTACAGACAACAGTACAATATAAAACAAAAACGGGCTACAGATCACCAGCAACTGAAGGTTGATCACCATACAAGGGATTTTTTAAAATTAAATTGAACTCGTACATGGATTTTCATGTACACAGATGTCTCTTATAAATTGGTAGCGCTTATAAATAAGTCAGATTGTTTGTGGCTATACCCTATTATGACCTTGCAACTGGCCAATATGACATCGTCCTCTGTTGGTTACCAAGCCATGTTGGCATTTCTGGTAACACAATGGCTGATGCTGCTGCTAAGGTTGTCCACTTGACACTGTGACACCACTTCTGATACCCTACAGTGACCTGTTATTAGAAGCCACATCCGGGATCTGATTCAAAAGAAGTAGGACACCAACCCAAGTAGGTATCAATAAATTATATGCAGTAAAACACTATATTGGTTACACCTACTTGGACTGTCAGTCCAGCTTTGAAGAGGTCATTTTAAGACGAAGCCGTATTAGCCATAGCAGATTACACATGAATATGTATGAAAACGTGAGGATCCTCCGTTTCGTATCACTTGTGAACCCGTGAAGGTCCGGGTTAGAATGAGCCTTCAGTAACCCATGCTTGTCGTAAGAGGCGACTAACGGGATCGGGTAGTCAGGCTCGCTGGCTTGGTTGCCACATGCCATCGGTTCCCAATTGCGCAGATCGATGCCCATGCTGTTGAACACTGGATTGTCTGGTCCAGACTCGATTATTTACAGACCGCTGCCATATAGCTGGAATATTGCTAAGTGTGACGTAAAACTAAACTCACTCGCTCACTCACTCAAAACATCACGATCAAGTATGTTTTGCTTGACTGCATTGATTTTTTATGTTTTTCAAATGTTTTCATCATGTACCTGATTTATTAGATGTAAAATGATAGATTTAGTGCCCGAACCTTTCATTCGTTTAATCATAAACTGACGTGCAAAAGAAAGTACACACCTGATGCTTTGGTAAAATGTTTTCCTGAAAACAACGTAATATTTAGAAAAGTGTTTTGATTGCGACTCACAAGTCACAAATATTGTGTACGTGTTGCAATAACACCATTGATATCGTACCCAATTGGAACATTACTAGCAAAATATTTACGTTGTTTTAATAGACTCAAAACACCAGTTATGTACTTTCTTTTGTACATCAGTATATTTCATACATGGACAGTTCATGCA